TGGTCACCAGTCCTTGAACATTTTTTTCAATTATTATTGTATAAAATGTATGCCTGGCATTGGGAAAAAGCGAGCTTAGTCTTGCCACCTTTGGCAGTTGAGTCTTTTCACTGGTTTTAGCTTGTGAATAGTTTAACAAAATACAGAACCACAGGGAATCACTTAACTATAACTTAAGTCTGGGAAAGAGACAGGAATTTTGACACCTCCCATTCTTCTGCACTTCTTGTTGGCCAGTCTAGGCATCCCTTTGCTTAGCATGTTAGCTGTTGTGAATCACTGTCCCCAGCATTTATTCCTCTCTATTCAAGGTATGGAATTGAGAGGTTTTATTCTCCTGTTACTCTTCTGGATTTAAGTTATTCTGTTTCTTATTGCAAACTGTCCTGACCCTGTGTTGGGAAGGGCAACATATAAATCAGATAAATAAATAAACAGTCTCAGCACTAACTAAACTTCATAAGGGCCTCTATTTTTTACTTTAAAATTCTCCTTTTTGTTCATGCCAAAAATTGCCTCAGTCTAGCAAGGATGGAGTAGGTCAATGTTCTGTGTGTGCTTAAGCCCAGTAAAGATCTAGAAGCTATGGCTAGGTACAGATGTTACAGTTATCATGTGTTAAGTGCACAGAAAATACTTTACAGCTGCAAAAGAACAGACTTCGCAGCACATAAAGAGCTTTAAAAATGGCAGTTCCTGCTCTAAGTTATCCCTGGATGGATGTGGTATCAGACTAAGGGCTTTAGGTTAGAGCGCTTTATGGAAAGTCTGTACCACAATCCATCCCAAGTCAAGGTAGGTAGCATTAGGGGCCCCTCACTGGGAGGTTTGCTAGACTTGACCAGTGCTTATCTCCTCTCTGCATTACCAGGTTGGAGGTGGAGGAAGGGAGCCCCCATGCAGTGTGCCCCTCCCCCCAGATTGCTGGGTTGGGTGTTGCGGGGTCAGGCTGGATCTGTATGGCATGGAGACTCCCCCACACCCAGTTCCTGGTGTAGCCAAAAGATGAATCAGGCAATCTCATGCTGTAGCTTCTGGCTACAGCTGCCAAGAGGCTGGGGAAGTGGGGAGCCCTCCCCTCCTACTGCACAGACCCAGCCCAACAAGCCCTACAAGACCTAACCCAGCAGATGGGAGCGGGGGGGCCCTGCAAGCCTCCTGGAAAGCATGCAGAAGCCTCCCACCTGATGGCCTTGGCTCCAAAATCCTCCCCAAGGAACAGTGAACATCTATTTGGTTCACTCCCACTCTAACTTATAGCATTTTAAGTAAAGTGCAATAGAGTGCTTCCATCAGGGGCTTTTTGAACATCTGTACCCTTAGACTAAATGTTCCTTAACAGTCTAACCTGAGAGGCACAAAATGATAGGCACACTCTGAAATAATAATGACATACCTAATGGATTGTGCTTCCTACAAAAAAGTCATGGCAACCAGTATTTTAAAGCACAGGCAGAAGAGGTGGTGGGTGGTAGTGAAGCAACTGCTCCTACTCTTGTACAACATCTCAGTGGTCTGAACACTTTCCCAAGAGACCATGGTTTTCATTTTTTCCCCAATATTTGGCTTAATATGAAATTTATAGACTTTTTTTAGAGCAGAATATTACTTCTGGTACTCTGGCCTACTTGATCATCAGTGTCCTTCTGTAGAGTGGAACAAGTTTGTCAGGAGGGATGGAAAGTGCACTCCCATCCTAGAATCCCCACTTGCTGGACCCTTAGCAGCCTACCTCAGGCAGGAGGGGAGATATAACTTGAATCCTCTCAAGTAGAAGAGGGAATTGACCCACTTAGGTGATGAGTGCTCTGTGTAATAAACCACGCAGAAAACAGCAAACAAAACAGTCCCTATTCCTTGCTTTTCCAGTCAGTCTGTTCTTTGGGCAGTGACTTCTGTTGTTTCAGCTGTCACTAAACAAAGGGATATATAATCATCCCCTCATTTAGCCCAAATTGAAGGCATCCAGCATGTTCAGCAGCTCAAGTGACGTGGTGTGATTGTCCATTGATGAATAACAAGCCTCACTACAATATGCTGTTACTGTTTGCTTTGGTTTGAATTTTTTTATTGTTATGTTTAATTTTATTCATTTTTCTTTGCATTTCTGCTTTCCAGGTTGTATTTTTGATATTCAGGTTCGCACAGGGAATGATCCACAGTTTAAATCACCAGGCACTCCACCAGGCCACCCAAATGCTGGTCGCAGCATAGGACAATGTAAAGATTCCCCATGCCATTTAATAAAATGCAGAAATGGTGGCACATGCATGGAAAGTGGCTCTACTGTTTAGTAAGTATAACTATTTCCATAAACTAAAGCATGACAGTGAATATTTGACTGATCTCAGCATGAATGTGGCATGCTAGTGCCTTGAAAACAAAAACAGAAATCCATCTTGCTTATTCTACAAGGGGGAAAAGGGGTGGGCAGAGTAAGCATGTTGACGATTGGGTGCCTTTCAGACTGGTTTGAGTCCACAGATCATTTTAATACTTCTAAACCAATTAAAGAATAAAAATGACTGTTTTTTGTCAGTTGGAATTTTCAGAAGTGTGCCTAATAGCCCAACTCTGCTGCCATTTGTCACAACCCAAAGGGTGTGATTTTTGTTTTTGTGTGCTTCGGCACTGCTAAATTGTTCCTGCTAAATTACAGCTTCTTTGCATGGTGGAGTTTTCTGCTGCAAAAGAGAACCCCGGTGCAAGGGAGAATTTCCCGCCAATTTGAAGCTTTCTTTGTAGGGTGCATTTCTTTGTTGCAGCACAGAAATGCTCGTTGCAAAGAGTTCCTGCCATTTGTATGCTAATTCGAGTCCCATTATTGGCCAGTTCTAAATTATTCACACGTGGCGGCTAGTGATTGGCTTGCTAGCCGTATAAGAGGCTTGAGTGGTTTCTGCCCAAGTTGGAGGACTCCACGAACAAGGGAGGAGGAGATTTCACGCTGTGTGAAGATCTCTAAGCGCTGCGGATCCTTACGGACCCAGTGCATTTAAAGCAGGCAGCGGAGGTCTGATCAACATCTAGCCTCTCCCCGTCGCTGAGTGCAATCCAGACGTATCCCTTCCCGCGCGCAAGAGAACCGGACCCACGGAGCCTAGCAAACTTCGTGTGAGTGAGTGAACAGAAGAACCCACAGAGCCTAGCAAACTTCGTGTGAGCCCTTACGACCGGCCTCAGAGCTCTTCTACCCGGGTTCGAGTCCTGCAGGTTTATTTTTCCCGTTGCCGAAACCCTTTGCGATGTACCCTCGTATTTTTCATCTTCCTGTCGCCGGAACCCTTTGCGACGTACCCTCGTGCCCTGCAGGTTCGAGTTTTGTTTTCTTTTCTGTCTGTAACCGCAACTTAAGCAAGCTTTCCAGCCTACACCACTGCCATCTCGGTGTAAGTAAACAAGCTTTAAATCTACCGCTACGCGTTTGTGCCTAATTCCAGCTCGACGGCCTTCCCTCTCCGATCCAGCGTGCCCGGGCTGCTGGCCACAGCCTGCGTGCAGCGCGGAAAAGAGCTCAGGTCGCTCCCGGCCCGCACACCATTACAGTCAGTGAGGACAGTATCATTAGCTTCATTAGGAGCGCAGCTGGGTAACCCTGAGTACTTTTGCATTCCACTGACAAAGGTACTCAGTCACTACTTTCTTACATTACAGTCTCTAGCACCTAGATATCCTGACACCTAGCCGACTCCTGATCCCTAAGGTAGTCACCCAGGCTTTTTCACAATACATAGGAAAAGCTAGATGCATGAAGAAGCTATTTGCAGAAGCCAGCGGAGTGGGGAGTTGCCTAAGTAAACAGGTAGGAGATGGAGTTAGGTATCTAAGCAACTGACATGGTGAACTTGGTTGATAATGGAAAGATTCCTACTGGTTCAGAACTGGGATCTTAGCTCCACTTCAGTCAGGCACTTATAGACATGGAAAAGAAAAAAAATAGCACTTTACTTTCAACTCAGTGTGGCCCAGTGCTGAGTGCAGCGCATGGCTAGAAGAGCAATCATCTCAATTTGACCTGGTTCACCTAGCATCTATATAGCTTGTGCACTTCAGTGGGGCTTTTTGGCACTTTTATCTAATAGCCGATTGAATCAGCTATTAAATAAAAGCTCCAAAAAGACCCACTGAAGCATGCTAGCTATACAGATGCTGGGGAGCTGGGTCAAACTGACGTGTTGCCTCTTCTGGGGAGGCACTTTTTTTTTTTTGGCTGGGGGTGGGGTTCCATGTCTGTCAGCATGGCCCTGCTGGGCAAACCAAGCTAGCCTTAGAGGTAACCCATGCTCAAGCAATGAAGTCCTTGCTTTAGGTTTTCCTGCTGGATGGTACAAGAAAGCACTGTTGTTCTGCCCACTGATTTCCATTCTGTTGCCTCTGCATACTGGAAAGATGTCAGGCTTCTGGAATTAGAGTAATGCTAGACACACAACCTAGTCCCATGGCAAAAAAACAGGTACAGAACATCTTTTGGCATGGAGTGTGGACAAAGAAAAAGCAATTGGACAGTAGGGGTGTGCAAAGCTTCGGTTACTGATTCGATTCAGAGGAGATTCGGCCCAATTCGGTGGCCGAATCTCCGAATCTGAATAGAATCAGGACATCCATTAATCTCTCCAAATCAAATCAGAAGCCTCTGAATCGATTCAGCGAGATTTCGAGATTCAACAATTCAGTCATAGACACAGCTTTATATGTTTTTTTCTACATACCTTGAGGTACCAGGCACAGCTTATGAACACTTCAATGGTGGGGCATATGGAGCGTCCCACGGAAGCGTGGGTGGGGGGTCCCCCATGCACTCGGCGGTGGACCTGAAAGTGTACCAGAAGTACTTCCAGTCCACTTCTGGGTCCACCACAGAGCATGCAGGGGAGTCCCCCGCCCCCTGGCTGGTGCCTCCTGAGTCTGGGGGAGCGCCTGGGGTCCCCCCATGACCGATCGCTGTGCCAGGGGCTTGCAGGGAGGGCCCCCACGTGTTCAGTGGTGGACCCCCCTGCACTCTTGTGGGATGCTCCATCTGCCCCACCATCTCAGCATTCATGAGCCATGCCTGGTACCTCAAGGTACGTAGAAAAAATATATAAAGCTGTGTCTATGGCCAAATCTCTGATTCTCTGAATCAGAATCTAGTCTTCAGATTCAGATTTGGCCAAATCGAATCGGGACAGTGATCCAAATGAGTGAATTGAATCACTGTCCCCTGAATCGGGCCAAATCCAAATTGAATACTGCCCACATCGCACACCCCCTAGTGGACAGGCCATGTTCTCGCGATGGCACTCCCTAGCTCCAATGTGGTATAGACATGCCATCTCTCTCCTGCTCATTCTCAGTACCTCTCCTGTTCTCATCCTATATTTGCACCAGCATTCTGCTGCCCTTCTACCTATCACTAGCCCACCTTTGGCCCTCTGATTTGGCAGGTAACAGGTGCAGATTGGTCAGCTGCCAGCCAAAATGCAACAAGTGGTCAAAAATGTGGGCTAAAACCAGGAGCTCTAGTAGTATCCTCAAACTGCCAACCTGCAGGTAGGTAGGCAGCAGGCAGCAACTGCAGCAGGCAGCCCACACTGCTGCAGTTCATGTGACTGCTCTGAGTCATCCTCATAAAGGTTTAGGGAAGTAAAGGTGTGGCACATTTGGAGAGAGGGAGGTAATCTAGAATGATAGCAGGAGACCTAGGTATAATGGAGAGTTGTTTTTTTTAATATTGTGGTGGTTTAAAATACCTTTTAATATTTTTTTTAAATATGCTCCTTTAAGCTCCAGTTGAATGTATGGATTGTGTTAGTGGTGTAATTATTTTCATTCATAATGTTCCATTTAAATTGTACCAGTCCCTTCATACTCAGGAACATCTGGCAGACTCTGTGTGTGTGTGTGTGTGTGTGTGAGTGAGTGTGTGTGTGTGCACGTATGCTTGTTCTTAACACTACTTCCACTGTTTCCTTAACAGTCACATTCCCTGAATCCTGTTTTGTCACACAAAAAGCAAAACTTTGCCAAAGAGTTACTTACCATACAAATGATTGGCGTCAATTTGTAGTGCCTGGCAGTACAACTCACACCTCTGTAAGTACTGCTTTCTCTTTTAAAACCACCTGCATCCCTGCAAACAGTGGGGTCCTCAGGGAAATTGGATCTGTGTTCAAATATTTTGAGTATCCTGAAAATGATTTCCCGCTGGAGATTTTTGTTGTGTGCTATTTCTGCACTTTGCCAACACCTCCACAGCAGACAAGCGTGCAGTGCAGTTAAATTGGAAGTTCAGTTGCTATGGGGATGATATTTTGATTTTTAAGCAGCAGCAAAAATGGACAGCAGGTTCTGTGATCTTCTGGGTAAACTTTACTTTCTCATCAGCAGCTGAGATTAATGGAATTACTTAAAAAATAATACAAAGATTATTTTTAAGAGACAGATACACCCTCCTGAGTTGTATTACTGATACAAAACCCTATTTTATACATAATGACATATCTTCATAACAGTCTGTGATGTCTTGCATGATATTCTCAAACAAGGTATGTGTGTCTTGTATCAACTATGTGCAGGACACAGAACATTTTACATTGTATAAAGGAGGCCCTTTATATGATGTAGGAGATTTTGTATTTTGATCATTTTTTGATTGTGAGAGATTTTGTATTTTGATCATAAGAAAGAACCCTCTTGGGTATGATGCCTGCATGTTGCAGTTGGAAAGTGAATACCTTTTTATAGAAGTTTCAGAACTTTTAGACAGAAGTTTTAAGTTCAGTATTCTAAAAAGTGCCTCAGCATTTTGTTGTAAGTACCATTTTCTGCCTCCCACCAGAAGGCCGTTCAAGAAACTGATTGTTCTAATGGTCAGGAACTTTTTTTGTGATTTCCTGCATTAATTTGTTCCCTGCCTTTTCCAAACTAATAGTTTTGCATGTGGTACCAAATCAGATGCTTACTAAAGTCTAAAAGTCTAATCTGTTTCATCTAAAAAATCCATTCTCTTGTCAAAGAAAGCTGACAGACTAGTTTGATATGATCTACCTTTGGTAAGCCTATGCTGCAGTTCATCCTATTTTCCCTTTGCCTCGGTGGGCACCTGTACACGTGCCCAATGCCTGCTCTGACATTTCTAATTAGAACGCATCAGAGCAGAATCAACTGAGTCTGCTGGAGTGTGCTAATTAGCAGGCTCCAGCAGCCTTGGCATCACATATATTCAGCATCTCCATGCTTCAAAATAGTGGTGGAGCTGCTTTAACTAAAGCTCATTGAATGAGCTTTAGTTAAAGTGCCCCCTGCCACCATTTT